GCGCGCCGCCCCGGTGCAGAAGTGCAGGGGCCGGGCTTCCCCCCTTTCCCCCTCACAGCGTTCGGGAGGGGGGTGTATCGAGGCGTTCGGGCGTTTTCGGACGTTTCCGTCGAGGTTCGAGGCTCGAGGTCTTCGGACGTTTTTTTGGACGTTCTCGTCGGCCTCTCCCCCTAATTACCGACCTCCACCTCCACCAGCTCCCCACTCCGACCTCCAGCATCCAGCATCCGACTCTCCACTCCCACTTCCACCTCTTGACCTCCGGCCTCCCCCAGCTCAGCATACTGACCTCCAGCATCTTGCGTACGACTTTCCACTCCCAGTTCCACCTATTGACTTCGAGCCGCCACCTGCTCAGCATATCGACCTCCAGCATGCGGCATCCGACTTTCCACTTCCACCTCCACCTATCGACCTCCAGCCTCCACAAGCTCACCACTCCGACCTCCAGCATCCAGCATCCGACTTTCCACCCACCTCCACCTCCACCTCCACCTATCGACCTCCGACTTTGCCAGCTCACCACCCCGACCGCATCCAGCATCCGACTCTCCAGCTCCACCTCCACCTATCGACCTCCAGACCCGTCCAGCTCAGCGCTCTGACCTCCAGCTCCAGCATACGTCGTTCCATTCCAACTTCCACCCATTGACCTCCAGCCTCTACCAGTTCAGCATCCCGACCTCCAGCATGCGGCATCCGACTTTCCACTTCCACCTCCAACTATCGACCTTCAGCCTCTCTCAGCTCACCGCTCCGACGTCCAGCATCCATCATCCGACTTTCCACTCCCAATTCCACCTATTGACCTCTGGCCCCCACCAGGTCAGCATACTGACCTCCAGCATCTTGTGTACAACTTTCCACTCCCATATCCACCTATCGACCTCCAGGACCTCCAGCGTCCACCAGCCCAGCACGCCGACATCCAGAATCCAGCACGTGGCTCTCCACATCCACCTCCGACGAAGCACCACCAACTTCCACCAACCCAGCACTCCGACCCCCAGCATCCGGCTTCCGACTCTCCATTTCCACCTCCACCTATCGACCTACAGCGTCCACCAGCTCAGAAGTCAGCTCTCAAACCTCCAGCGTCCACCAGCTCGGCAAACGCGGACAACATGCACAGGGCCTTGGCCCCCCCGCGCAGGCCCTGAAGGTCCCCGCCCCCAGCGGTACCGCGCGCTGGGGGCGGGGCCGGCAGGGCCCTTCAGCATCAGCACGACACTGACACGGAAGTCGCGGGCAACGTTGGGCTCAAGGATCGAGGTTCGAGAATCGAGGTTCAACGACCGTGGTTCGAGGTTCGACAATCGGCGTTCGAGCATCGAGGTTCGAGGATCGGGGTTCGAGGATCGAGGTTCGAGCATCGGGGATCGAGGTTCGAAGATCGGGGTTCGATGTTAGGTTCGAGGATCGGGGTTCGAGGTTCCGTTTGAGGTTCGAGGATCGAGGATTGAGGATTCAGGATTGGTGCTCGTTTTTTGGAGAGTTTCGATCGTCGTGGGGCTTTCTTGGCCCTGGCTTGATCCGCCTCGATGTTCTGTGAAAAGGGAAGGAATAATAGAATTTTGGCCTAGGGAGGTGAAGTCTCGAGTTTCGAGGTTGGCGGTTTTCGGACGTTTCCGTCGGCTGTCATCGGCTTTCAGCCCAAAGGCCAGAGGGTAGGTTCAGGGGGGGTGCATCGACCCCCGATCTCTTATTGATGGCCGATAGTGTCATGAGATCGGCGGCGGACTCCGAACCCTACCCTCGCCGAGCCGCGAGTCAATCAACACGACGGGCGGCGGGGTAGGGTCCGGAATTCGTCGAAGACGTGGCGAAACTTGAACCCTACTCCCAGCTCTCATCGGTGCAAGAGAGTCGATGGTTGGTGGGGGTAGGTTGCGGATGCCGCCACCAATGACAGCCCTCCCCGCCCAGGAACGTTAGGTTTCGCTAGCTGGGACGTGTCGCGGATATGATCGGCGGTGCGTCTATTCGAAGCCAATGGCTCTCCCCCCGAGTTGGTTCCCCTTCCTCGTTCCCCCTTCCCCCCCCCCGCGTTGCCGGGAAAGTCTCAGCTCGCCAGGAAGACGCTGCACATGACACCACTCTGGGTTCATAAGGGGCTCCAGTGCCGGGCCATTCCTCCGATTTAGGTCGAGGAGCCTATTTGTGGTTGATGCTTGCCGTGGCCAGAAAATGGCCTCTTGTTTCTCATTTGACGTTCCTCCTGGTAGCAGGATCGGTGCATGTACGGTGTTTCACGCCTTTTCGTGTGAAGATGGAGGTAGCCATCACCGTGCGTCGAGGGAGGAAGTGGCACAGACTCAAATCTTCGGAGGTCCGCGCGTATTTCTAGGTCGCCGCCGGTCCCAATAAGTCCACCCGTTCTGCCAATATTGTGTAGTTCCCCACATCCAAATTGGGGTTCTTGTTTTCTCTGGACATCCCGCGCAGGAACACCCACCTCAGCCCGCGCAGGACCCGCGCAGGAACACACCCACTCACTCACTCACTCAATCACTCACTCATCATCATCAGCATCGTCATCAACAACACCGCGTCACCAGCGCTCGTCATCATCAGCACTTATTATCATCATCATCAGCATCATCATCATCATCATCATCATCACCACTCATCCGTAGCCATTTTGGCTCAAGCCATTTTGGCTCAAGTAAAACATCTATCAAGGCAGCTGGCCAGGACAGCTTCGCCTTGGTTTGGAAGCGAGCCCAGTTCAGGCTTCCGACCAGGGCTTTTGGCCACGGAACTCCACATTTTGTGAATAGTTTCTCTGGCACAGCATGGGAAAGGATCACCGGCGTTCAGATTCTTCCTCGCCATCAAGAGATCGGCGGGGTGCTAAGAAGGGTCACGTGAAGAAAGAAAGTCGAAGGTCTTCCTCACGTTCTGCACGGCGCTCACTGTCTCCCGACAGCCGAGGCATGGAGTCGCCAGCACCAATGAGCCAGCAGTCTCCAGCTTGTTCGGCGGAGGAGTTCAAACCAATGTTCCGTGAGCTGATGTTGGAGTTCAGCGGGAGCATGACCAAATCTATACACGAGTCGTTGGGCACGCTGCGGAATGAGATGTCGCACAACCTCCACATCGTGCGGTCGGAGGCCGAGGCCAGGTGCGCTGCCATCCAGATCACCCTCGACTCGCTCCAACAGAACCAGCAGGCGATGACGGACCGTATCGTGAAGATCGAGAGCGGCGGGAGTATCGGCGGGGGCACCCCTTCCACGCGCGCTGATCCATGGGCTGCATACCAGTCCAGTTCAGGCAGTGGCTCCAGTTCTCAGGGAGACGATGACAATAAGATATGGCTCCGAGGGTTTCCGCGTAAGTTGTTGGCTCCGCAGTTCAAGGCTCACTATGAGACGAAAGTGTCACCCCTTCTGCATGACTCGATCAAACACAATGTCAAGCCTGTATTTCATAACATGTCCTTCTCGTACATGGTTGTGTTCCCGAGCAAGACTCACGCACAGCAGTTCAAGGACGGCATCGCGTCTCGGCAGATGGAGTGCGACTGGGTCGACCCTCGGGACAACGTTCAGCACCAGATTCGTGCTGGTGCGCACAAACCGTTGGAGATCCGTAAGAGGGGCTTCGTATTGAGTCAGCTATGGCGTATGATCAAAGAGCACCTCCTCTCTCACCATTTGTGGCGTGAAGGAGTATGTAGTTTGGGCACCAACGCGTACAAGGGCTCGCTGTACTTCTCGAACGGAATCGAGGCCTGGGAGCTGTTCAAGGTTGAGGAGCAGAGCAGCGGGTACCGCATCACACCCATGGTGGAGGATCTCTCTCAGATCCAGATGAACGAAGCAGGCGCCCAGGGCATCATCTCTCGTGTCTCCTTCCCATAGGATGAGGACGTCGAGGACATCATCACAGAAGACATCCCTTCTCGCACAGCATACGTACCGAAGAAACGGGTCAAGGTGTGTACCTGGAATACGAAAGCTCTGTTTGGGAGTGTTCATGGTGAACATAGGGTACAAGAGCGCAGGTATGCCAGATTTAGACACCTTCTCGAACGGCACGATATTGTCTGCTGCCAGGAGGTGCACGGCTCGGAAGGGGATCTTAGCAATGTGAAGCGAGACATGCCAGGATACCTGTTCTTTGGGAGCTTCTGCGAGGAAGCGCGTGCAGGTGGATGTATGATTTGTCTTGCGCCAGAATTTGCCGAGCAGTTTCACTCTATAGACTGTGCTGTGATCTTAGCAGGGCGATGCATTCTTCTCTCTTGCTCTGGACCTGAAGGAGTTCTTCAGGTATGCTGCCTTCATCTTGTTCCTTCCCTCTCTCGGCCTGCCAAACGTGCTCTCCTGCGCCAGATTCGAGATCGTTTTCTCTGTCCTGCTCAGGGGCTCGGAATCTTGGCAGGCGACTTTAATTTCTATGCGTCAGGCGAGTCTCGACAGTATGGGGACGGCACTCACCACAATAATGCACACACGCTTGCCGAGCACTTCGATAACCTTTTTACCGACTTTGGTGAAGTTGAGCAAAACCTGCATACACACAAGGAGGAGGTGGGGGGGAACGTTGTTTCGATGGCGAGATTAGATCGTATATATGTTAATTGCTTTCCTGCGGTTCTCAAAGATCTACAACCTATGACGGGGGTGATTGGGTATGGAGTTTCTGACTGGTGCAGTGATCATGCGCCTGTTTTTCTTAGCCTTGGAGTTCGGCGTGCTCCTCGTTACGATCAGGTTCCAGCGTGGCTGGCCAAGACAGCAGAATTTAAGGACGCTGTGGTAGAAGTACTGTCTGAGATTTTTTTGGAAGGTACGATTGGGGAGAAGCTATCACAATATAAACATGTGCTATACGAAGCGGGGATGAGGGCAAGGCGGAAGAGGGAGGAAAGGGGAGCCAGAACTATTCACGATAAAGTAAGCTGGATGTATGCGGTCTTGAATGCAGTGCGCGCGAACAAACATGCTGTTCTCAGGAGAGCTGTTCGAGCTTATCCTGCTCTGAAGGAGTTC